GCTGAGCAGGGAGCCCGATGCGGGACTTGATCCTGGGACTCCAGGATCATGACCTGAGCCAAAGGCAGTTGATTAACCAACTGAGCCACCCAGGCGCCCTAGAATTTTTTTTTTTTAAGATTGTATTTTTTTAAGGAATCTCTACACCCAGTGCGGTACTCAAATTTACAACCCTGAGATCAAGAATCACATGCCCTGCTGACTGAGCCAGGCAGGTGCCCCAGGAGCTAGAACTGATGGGACCTGTGCTGGCCAAGTCATGCTGAGCATTTGAATCCCATTCTTCTAGCAGATTCCGTAACTCTGAGAAGCTGCCTGTAGCCAGATGAAGCATATTACCTTATTCCTTAATTTACACCTATGCTTTGGTATGTGGAACTCCCAACTTGTTCCTCAAAACTTTCCATTGTCCTCCAACAGTGGAAAAACCCTTCTCTGTAATCTCCAACAAGCTAGTGACAGATAATATTGCAGAAGCTTTTGTCCCCCCAAGTAGAATGGTGATCAGGTCTCTGTGTCTCTAGAAGAGCAGCCATTTTCTGCTACAGGGGTGACAGGCAGTTACAGCTGATCCCAGGGTGCCCTGTGCCTAGGACAGAGTTGCGTGGGCCGGAGGGCGCAGAACGCTTGGTTTTGTGGGCAGCTCTTTTACTGCTGATATCCTGGCTACAGGGCAAGGTGGGGACCTGACTTCATTCATTTCACTATAGTAATTGGGGTCTGAGAGCCAAGCTCTTAGCCACTTGGTTTCGATCTGGTCCTGGTGGCAGAGAACCTGACCAGAGGCTTCATTCCTGGACCTCGGGGCCTGTGGTTGGACAGTTCAAGTTGAACACCCATCTGACTTTGGGGCAGTAATACCAGCTCACCTTTCTGGGCCTCTGTCTCCTCTTCTATAAACTGGGCATAATCATTTCTATTCTCCTGGCTTTTGAATTGCCAAGAGGATGAAATGAGGTCGTGACTCTGCAGATTTTTGGAAGGCTGGAAAGCACTTCTCTGAGGTCTTGGCCTCAGGCTCTGAAGTCAGCCAGTCTGAGTTCGAGTCCTAGTGCCACCATGTGATGTGAGCCTTGATGAGTGACCTAACATTCTTTTTTTTTTTAAGATTTTCTTATTTATTTGAGAGAGGGAGAGTGAGCGAGAAAGAGAGCACAGAGCAGGGGGAGGGGCAAAGGGAGAGGGAACAGCAGACTCTCAGAACCCTGAGATCATGACCTGAGCCAAAGTCAGATGCTTCACCGACTGAGCCACCCAGGCGCCCCGAGTGACCTAACATTTCTGAGCCTCAGTTTCCTCATCCTGAAAATAATGTTGAGCAGATATTGTAGATTGTACAGAGGATTTAATGGCGGAATTCTTGTAGGGCACCATCCTGCACTTAGAAAGCTCTCAGTAAATGTTGGTGATGTGTGTGTGAGTGCACGTGTACACACGTGTATATGATGGGAGACGGACTTTGTCTTCAGGACCCTGTGTTCCCGGATGGCAGCATACGCTGTCCCTGTCTCCGTTGGCCTGTAGCTCTCTCGCACTGGGAACCCCAGGCACCTGACTCTTTGCAGAGCCCCTGAGGCTTCTGCCGGCACTCCTGTTGGAGACCTTGGCTCTGGTGCATGAAGATCTCCGCTGTAGCAGGGATCCTCTTATATTTATCTCCCAACTTTTTTTTTTTTTTTTTAAGATTTATTTTAGAGAGACAGAGAGTGAGAGACAGAGAGTATGTGCATGCGTTCAGGGGAGATACAGAGGAAGAGGAAGAGAATCTCAAGCAGACTCCCTGCTTAGCACGAAGCCTGATGCGGGGCTGGATCCCACAACCCTGAGATCATGACCTGAGCTGAAACCAAGAATTGGATGCTTAACCGACTGAGCCACCCAGGCTCCCCCCCTCAACTTTTTCTTAATGAAAAATCTGAGGGGCGCCTGGCTGGCTTAGTTGGTAGAGCATGTGACTCTTGATCTCAGGGTTGTGAATTCGAGCCCCTCACTGGGTGTAGAGATGACGTAAATAAATAAAACTTAAAAAAAAAAAGAGAATCTGAAACTTTCAGAAAAGTTGAAAGAAGAGTACAATGCCCAACTATATACTTTCCACCTAAATTCAACAGTTGTTAACTTTTTGCCAGATTTGTGGGTATATTCTCTATAGATAGAGTAAGTTGCACATGCCCTGAGCCTCACCCCCAGGTATTTCAGCAGGCGTCTCCTGGGAATGAGGACATCCTCCTCACCACCATCACATCTACGAAGAGTAACAATAATTCCATACTAACGCCCAATATCCAGTCCATGATCAGATGTCCTCCGTGGTGCTGAGAATATTTTTGTTGTTTGACTTCCCAGCCAGGACCCAGTCAAGGTGTATGTGTTGCATTGGGACGTTATGTTCTGTAGTCTTCTGATCTGGAGGCAGCCTCTACTCTCCCCCCAACCATAGTATTTGACTTTTTGAAGAGTCTGGGCCAGTTGTCTGTTTTTGACATATTTAAAGGTTTTTTCTTGGTTTTTTTGTTTTTGATTTATTTATTTCAGAGAGAGCACAAGCACGTCATGTGAGCGAGTCGGGGAGGGGCAGAAGGAGAAGGAGACAAGCAGACTCCCCGCTGAGCAGGAGTCTGACCCACAGCCGATGCGGGGCTTGACTCCAGGACCCCGAGATCATGACCTGAGCCGAAATCCAGAGTTGTATGGTTAACCAACTGAGCCCCACAGGCACCCCTATTTAAAGGTTTTTTAAAAAAGTAAAGTATGGGGCCCCTGGGGGGCTCAGTCGGTTAAGCGTCTGCCTTCGGCTCAGGTCATGATCTCAGTGTCCTAGGATCGAGCCCTGCATCGGGCTCTCTGTTCAGCGGCGAGTCTGCTTCTCCCTCTGCCTCTGTGATCCCTCTCCCTCTGGTTACTTTCGTTCTCTCTCAAATAAAGAAATAAAATTTAAAAAAAATAAAATAAATAAAGTATAACTTACATGCAGTAAAATGCACAGATCTTAAGTATACAACTGGATGAACTTTTTCTTACGTATATACCTTGTAACTGCCAACCCAATCAAGACACTGAACGTTTCCATCATCCAGAATGTTCCTTAATGTCCCTTCCCAGTCAGTACGCCCTCACCTCAGAGGTAAGCATTGTTGTAGCTTTTATCACCATAAATTAGACTTTAGTCCAACTGTCTTGTGGAATATCCCACACTGTGGATTTGTCTGCTCATTTCTCCTCATGGTATTGGACACGTTCCGCTTTGCTATGTATTCCCCATAAGCTGGAAGTTGAGTCTAGGCTGAATGGCAAAACATTTCTGGTGAGAACACATTATCTGTCATGCCACCCACCTTACCGGCTCCTCTCCTCCCGCAGATGAGCTCCCCACACAAGAACTCTGCGCCATCATCCCTGAATGAGTATGAGGTGCTGCCCAACGGCTGCGAGGCCCATTGGGAGGTGGTGGAGCGCATCCTGTTCATCTACGCCAAGCTCAACCCTGGCATCGCTTACGTGCAGGGCATGAATGAGATCGTGGGGCCCCTCTATTATACCTTCGCCACCGACCCCAACAGCGAGTGGAAAGGTAAAAGGGCTCTTGGCTGCCCACATCCCTCATGTGGCTCCCTAGAAAAATGGACCAAGGAAAGCCAGGATAATGGGCCTTATCAGGCTGTGCAACTCACTTCCCCTCTCTGGGCCTCCATCTCCCCTCCATCAGATGTGAGGAGTTGACCTGGATGGTCTCTGAGATCCTTTGCAGCTCAGGCTTTCTAGAATGTGGGAAGCTTACTGATCTCAGTATTTGTAACTGAAATTGTGGTAGAGGAGATGAGATGTACATATAGGAAGCTGAATGATTGACAAGGAATTAAATAATGATTGGAAAGATGTCATCAGAAGAGCATGTGATAGTTGCTAAGCGAAAGTACAGTGTTGCCAGAAGACATGAGACGACATGATGTCCTTAGTTTGGGGGTGGAGCATGGTCAAGGAGAGAGGAGGGCCTGAGCCTGACCAGAAGGGTGGGTGGCCTAGAGAGGCTCAGAGGTAAAGAGGGAAGCTACCACGTTCGTGAGAGATGGGGTGGGACTCGGACGAGCATCAGTTCCCTTGCAGCTGCCTTCCCCCTACCCCTGTCGCCCAGAGCACGCCGAGGCAGACACCTTTTTCTGCTTCACCAACCTCATGGCTGAGATCCGGGACAACTTCATCAAGAGCCTGGATGACTCACAATGTGGTATCACTTACAAGATGGAAAAGGTGTACTCTACCTTGAAGGACAAGGACATGGAACTCTACCTGAAACTGGTGAGGAGCACCAGGACCCCTGGGCCAAGGCAGACAGACAGGAAGGGGCACAGGCAGGGGGCCTCCTGAGCACCCCAGGCCCAGGGCAAGGTCTGGCATGAGTCTGGGGGTGGAAGGTGGCCGCTCCCGCTGGGGAGTGCTGGCCCAAGCTCTGTGGTGTGGCTGGGAGACTGAGGCAGCCATTGACGTGGGAGCTTAGCCGGCTGGGCGTGAAGAGGAAGTGGGTAGGGTGCCCGTCATGTGCCAGGCACGGCGCGGGGTGTTCACCATACGCTGAATGACTTGAGCCTGGTAGCAGTCCTCTGAGAAAAAAGTACGAGCGTCATTTTTAAAAATGAAAAATGAGGGCGCCTGGGTGGCTCAGTTGGTTAAGCGACTGCCTTCGGCTCAGGTCATGATCCCAGAGTCCCGGGATCGAGTCCCGCATCGGGCTCCCTGCTC